GGCGTCCAGCTCAAGCTCCAACTCCCCCCTGCACAGAGGCCACAACAAACCCGCACAACTGGACACCGCCACCTCCCTCTCCAGCTCCAACCCGTCCACGAGCCCCCAGTCTATGGACCACAGTGGATCAAGCGCAGAGCTAAAGACCTCAGCCTCGGCCGCCTCTTCCACCATCAGCTCCGTCCCCACCTTGGCCTCCGTCCCGCACCCCCCTCACTCCTTAGCACATGAACCCCAGCTCCACCTCAAGGGTGATCCCCACTATTCCTTCAACCACCCCTTTTCCATCAACAACCTAATGTCCTCCTCGGAGCAGCAGCACAAGCTGGACTTCAAAGCCTATGAGCAGGCGCTGCAATATTCCTCCTATGGGGCCAGCATCCCCAGCGGGCTGCCCCTGGGCAGTGCCTCCATGGCGGGCCGGAGCAGCATCGAGCCCTCGGCCCTAGAGCCCTCCTACTACCAAGGTGTGTATTCCAGACCCGTGCTAAACACCTCCTAGCTCTGCATCCCCCACCACCGCCGGAGGCGAGACCCCTCTCCCCATCCTGGCTTCTCTCCCCACTTGCCCTGAGACAAACCAAGGTGTTTCCGCACGTTGCGTGCAAAGGACTGTTACTTTTTAATTGTCTCGCAACGCATTGTGTGTTGTTATGATCCACCACGACCTCCTGCAAAGCCACCCCTGTCCTGCTTGTACATATCTCCTCTGGCCCCTGCTGCCCAGCCCCTTTCCCCAGAGACACCACCTCCCCACCCCCAGCCTATGCAGGGTGTTATTAAAAAGAAGAAAAAAAAAGTTCAGCTTGTAAACTACTTGTTTGTGCTTTCTGCCCCCTCGTCTCTCTCCCTTATGTGCTCTATAATCTCATGTAAGTTTACAGGTATGTGGCAATACTTTAACAATACGGAGATGAAGAAGCGAGTACACATTTAAGACTTTTTTTTTTTAATTAAAAAGGCTTTGAAGGACAATACTGCTGTGAAGTAGCAAAACACTAAGAGAATCTCTAAGCAACAAGAGGACTATTTACTTTCTCGGATCACCCTTTTGATACTTGCAAAATAAACCTTCGGCTAGTACAACCCGCATACACCCAGATGCTGCGGGCCAGATCCTGCACTCCTGAGGGGACCAACTGGAGCTTTGGAGTGCAGGATGCGACCCTGATTTTTATCCAAGTGTTACCTGTATTGGAATATAATACAAAGTTGCAAGAGGTCACAGACAGTTGGAATTTTTTTCCTTCCCATCTGTTACTGAAGATTCTCGTTCATCAGGAGCTCTCATCAACATGTGGATGACATACTTATTTAATTTAAGTGTCTTCATTGTGTACCAGCTAGAACTGTGTATGTATAACCACGTTATTTTCCCCCTCCCCCAGAAAACGGTGACTACTACACCGATGCAAGGAAAAGAGGACAGCTCTGTCTCTCCTCCTTTTTCCAACTTGTTTAATAATTTTTTTGTGGCCGTTTAATTATCGCCATCATTAGCTTGTTTCATCCAGTGTTATTGCACTTTCCACAGTTTTACACGGTGTTAGCATAGCCAGACGGGTTTTATTATTATTCCTGTTCACTGTCTCAATGTTCTTAATTTATTGCATGGTTTATATTGTTTTCTTTCTTTACAGCTGGAAATTGCTTTAAATGACAGTGGAAAAAAAGAGAATTACACGTCAATTTAAGAAATTTTGTTAATTTTATAAATGTGATTGTAATTGAAAAAATATTTTGATTTAAAACGATAACTGAAAATTTAATGCGTGAAGTATGTTTTTGATCACTTGCAGTAAAGGACTTCAAATAAATCAAATGTTATCAATTAAATACTTCTGCTATTTTCTTTCAAAATTTCTGGGGTGGGTTATGGAGGACGGAGCCTTGTGCGAGAAAATCAAAACGTAGTTCTAAAGTGTGGATGTGAAGAGGGAGGATTTGTACAACCAGGCTTGTGCAGAGCGAAGGCAGGGGATTTGCTGCGATGCCACCGGCCTGTGAGGCTGTGAGTGTAGTGGTGTCCCCCCTTTTTTTTCTTTTTTTCTTTTTTTTTTTTTTTCTCTTTTTCTCTTAATTCACGGTGCTCGGGTAGGTTGAGGAACGGCAGAAAAAAACGACTCGAGGCGATGTAACGTCCTGGGGTTTTTGCGGCCGGGGTGGCGGCAGCCAGACCCGGGGTTTCCCCGACGGACGGGACGACGCCCACGGGGAGCATCCCTAAAGTGGCTCCATGTCGCTCCGGGGCGCTGGAAAGGCCCAGCTCCTGCTTTCTAGTCCTCGGTCGGAACGACCCCTCGGAACGATACCAGCAGCCGCACTGGCGAGTACTGTTTTCCAGCAAGAGTCTTTGTCGGGGAGGGTAGTTTAAACATGAACTGATTTCACTGTGCCGAGCCCCGTTCGTGCACGGACGCCAGACAAAATAACTATAATTCTCGTAATTATCACATAATTGCCCCCCGACGGCTTAGGGACAGCGGCGACAAACCAAATTTAAGTGTCGATTTAGAAAAGTCAAATCAGCGTCCCAGAAATCTCATAACATTCCTCCAGCACTACCATCCAGCGAAAAACGGGAGGGAAAAAAAAAAGTGTTGTGAGAGCCTCTCTGCTTTGCAAGGGTGGTCGAATCACCGGTGATGCGCGCAAGGCACCCACGGCAACACGGAGCTGGCTCCCGCTCTGTGCTGTGTGGGTGCGCTTGGTCGGGCGGGCATTTACCGCAGGTCCCACCCGGTTGCCGCATGCGGGCCCTGCAGCAGGCGGGTGTTGTGCCCGCGACACCGGGTTCGGCCGGTTACCCCATGACCCGGCTGTGTGGCCCCTTCGTCTCTGAATGTCCCGAACTGGCAAACACCAACAGACCCCCCGCAGCCAGGGGCAGCTCGGGGCTGCTCGGCACCAAGTCTGGGCAGGCAGATCCTATTTGAAGTCCCGCTTCTTCTGCCAAAAGGAGATTCGTGAGAATCGAGACAGGGTGAAGCCCGCTTTCAGCAGGACTTCACTTGTCTCCCACAGAGTAGTCTATAGAGAATATGCCCTTGCAGAGTGGAGACATTGATTTAATGCCTTGGGCTTGTACACGGAAAATATCAATCGACCGACAGAGATAAGGCAGCAAGTTTCACATATCAACTGAGGAGCACAGACCGTGTGTAATGGAAATATTCGGGGCGTGGGTAATAAAAGCGTTTAAGCGGACCGACTCAGCTCCAAACCTTTCATAGATAAGGAGAGGAGCCTGTCACGGATGCAGTGTGTGTCCTTTCTCCACTTGCCGTCAAGACTGTATTCCTCCCCTTGCTTCTCGTAGGCAAGTGGTGTTTGCGGTGGGCAATGAGCCACTGACAAGACAGGGCTCATATTAAAAACGCAGCTCCCCGGCGCAAAGAACGCAGTCTTCTGTGATCAGTTTAAGACTTGGAAATCAATAGTGGGGAGAAAAGTCCCCTGTTTCTGCTCCTAGCTGCCCTGCTGTTGCTTTAATCATGTGCTCAAGAAGCCCCCAGCCACAGTGTAAAAATAAACCAAAAGTGGGCTACATAGGAAGAGGGTGTATCTCCCCGCCCCGCAATGTGCAGAAGAGCTTACGGGCATCTCCTTTCAGCCGGACCGATCACCCCGTCCCAGGAGGGAAGAAGCTGGCGAGTGCGGGGTTTCTGCCCGTGTCTAAGGTGGTATCTCAGCCCTGAGTCAGGGACAGAGGCAAAGCGGAGTCCCGCCAGGCTGCAGGTTTCAGACTCCGGCCGCCAACACAATTTATAGGGGAACTTCGCCTTTTCCTACTCGGCAATTATCTCCGATCGGACAAGTGCGAGAGAGAGAAAACGGCTCATTTAGCATCATTAAATACAAGCGGGGGGTAAATCAGGGCCGCGGGAGATCCTTGTAATGATTTACACGGAGTTTGGGCGGTGAGGGGGCTCCCGACCCGGGGTGAGAGGGGATGCTGAGCGCGCCGGTCGGGCCCCTCGTAACTGCGAGGTCGGTACGGCCGCGTCTCCGCGGCGCTGGGAAGGGGCAGCCCCGGCAGCCGAGGACGAGGGGAAGCGGTGGATCCCCTGGTGCGGCGGAGCCTCCTCTGCCGCAGGGTCTGAAAGTCTTACGTCGTCCAGCAAGAGGGGCAGGACGGGGCCCTCGCTCGTGGCACCTCCTCGGAACACCTGCGAGCAGCACCTCCCCTCCGCAGAAGAGAAGAGTCGATGGAATAAAAGCAATTTCAGCCGTCCGAGTCAAAGGGGAGAAATGAAATCATAAGTAATTCCTGGGTTGTTTCCTGAGTGCGAGTGGACAGCACTACACATCTACATGGTCTACACTGGCAAATAGTTGGAGGATGTACATTATTTGGAAATAATTAATTAGAAATTTTCGGGACTGAAAGATGAGGAAAAAAATTGCAGGACAATTTTTCATTTGAAGCTTATAACTGTCGATAAAATATAAGTAAACTGTAAAAAACTGCGCGAGAAAACTCTTCAGACATCGGTATAGCTTCAAAAAATGTTTTGAAATGTGTTGAGTAGGTATTGAAATTGGCCCATCAGCATAAACCAGAAATAAATTAATTTTCTGGATGTAACACCAACTAGCCATTGACTCGGTTTCAATTTTTTAGCGATATTATAGATAAAAGGCTTGATTGCGATACACCTTGTATCGTTTCTTTTCTGTAATGATAAAACGGAATCTTGGCATCTCTGTATGAGCATATGTGTTTAATCACTCTGAAAAAAACATTTTTAAAACAGACCCTTCATAAATAAATAAATAAACAATTTGCTTGTGCATTTTCGTGATACATTTAATTTGTGAAAAAGCAAATTATCCTCATACAAATACGAGATATAAAGTTCTTTCGGGAGGTGTATAGATGTATGTATTGTATATAGTAACATAGATGTAATTAGTATGTATTTGTTTCCAGGGGAGACAAGTGAAAATATACATAATACACAATGACCAGGCGAAAATCACACCACAATAGTGCAAAGAGTGACCGGAGTACATAATGTACACGTAAGTCCTTGCAAAACTCCCACGCTGCAACAGTGTTTTAGGAAATGTGGGAGAATGGTTAATAGCTAAAATCAAAATGCAATTAGTTTGATTATTTACATGTCAAGGGCGGTATTACAAAATGGTTCTTTTTTTTTTTTCCTCTAGATGTGAAACCAGTCTTCTGAGCTACTAGCAAAGGTAGAGTAATAATTAAAAAAAAAAAACCAAACCAAACCAAAAACAAAAACAAAAACAAACAAACAAAAAACCCAGTTTGCACATTTTCTGTGATTTGCAGTGTCGAAAGGTCTTTTTTAGCCGGAGAAAATAACTAGGGGAAGAGAAGAGTGGAAAACGGGAGGCGATAAGAAAAAACCTGCCTTTGTTCTCTCTGGTTATTTTCTAATAATTATTCTGCCCATGGTGACAAAGTAGCAGTTAAGGATAGATTAGTGTAAATAAACCTCGCATTTCACTTGCAAACCGCACAAATTTCTGGCCCAAGCCGTGCCATGGTGTTTGTTTCTCCCCTTCACCTCAAACAGAAACTCATTGAGATTTCAGATCTTTGAACTTTGGACAGATCAAACTGCCGGCGCTCACCTTTGTCTCCAGTCATTAGAATTTAAAGCATATGTAGGCTCTTTGCAGAATCCATTTGTCTCTACGAGGGGAAAAAATTTCAATCTCCTCTCTCCCCCAACCCAAAACTCCTACATTTAGTTGAATTAATCGAAAAGATCATTTCCCAGAATGGTGCCTCTGCTGCGAGAGTATTGCTTTGAATGGGTTTTGCCCAGCCGGGTTACTATAGGGGAAGTTCGTCCTTGTTTTGTTGTCACTGTTGTACTGTTGGTAATCTAATTTTTCCCATGAAATGTTCATACACCTGTTCGCTATCCCAAGGCTGAACTACAGCCAGGTAGATGATGATGATGATGGTGATGATGATTACTATTACTATTATTCCAACCAGAAGGCAGAACATGCTCTGAACTTGAGCGCTGCCGTGTCCCTGCTGGCCTGCCCGCGCCACGGAGGTCCCCCTGCAGCAGGAGAAACTCTGAAGCGGTGTGGAGGCGACACGAGAGCGGGCGGGACCAGGTCCCCGTGGGCGCGGGGTGCGGTGCTGCTGCCCTCTCTACCCGTCCGGGTGTCCCGCCCGGCCCCGGTAGCTCGAGCCTTCTCCAACGGACAGCGTTACTCTCCTGTGGTCCAGCCCATCTCTGGGTTTAGGACCCCCATCCTTTGCCTCACTGAGTCCCCGGAGGAAATAACGAGGGGGGGTGGGGGGGAGGGAGAGGGCGGGGATCCCCAGGTGGACGTGCTTCGGGTGACCGCATTTTTTTCTTCCGAAATCGGTCCATTCACACACCGCTTGGTAATAAAAGAGTGCCGAGTCCGCCGGGGGAAAAGCCACGACCATTATCTGGAGCGGGGGCATCCCCTTCACGGACGGGTCGCCCCTTGGCCACGAGCAGTTAGGTGGAGGTGCTTTGTGCCCCCGGGGCTAGCACCCGTTTCGCGGGAGGTCCGGGAGCTGCCACAAGCCTCTGAGAGTGAGACCTGCGTGATTCCATCCCCCGTCAGGCTACCACGGTACAGAGGTACAGACGCGATCCCGGGACCCTGCCGGCCGCAGCGGATTCTCACCTCGCTCTGAGCCAGCCCGGGCACCGAGGCAAAGGGCCGCCCGCTCCGCGAGCGGGATCTGGCCCTCTCGCAGCAACCATGTCTATAGCAAACACCTCCTTTGCACCCCATACCCCAGAGTGCTCCCTAATAAATCATCTACATTTGCCATCTACTGCGCAGTAGCTGAAATGTGTTTCCCCCTTTATTCCTTCTATTCCCCGAGCCTGCCCGGCGGGTTGCTAACACACATTTCCTCCTCTTATGACAGACAGAAAATGTAAACATGCTGGTAACTAGGAGGTGGGCCTCATTCTGCAAACTCGGATCTCTCCATAGTGACTCTCAGTAATGACCTCTTTAGCATAATAAAGCCCAGGGGGCGGGGAATCTTTGAACTCCGGGACAGGAGATTGGAATAAGAGCATGTCTGAACTTATTCAAATGTATGCAACAAGTTTTCTAGTTCTAAGGTTATCTGATGTGAACAACAGACGTTTTTCCTCTTCTCGTTTTTCCTTGCCTGATTGCTTTATCTAAGGAAGTACTTTAAAACTTCAGGTATGTCATTAACTTATATGAAATAGAAAGGGAACAAAAACCAAACAAATAAACAAAAAAAAAAAAAGTGCGACAAAAGTTCCGACCCCACATTCAGTTGGGAAAAAAACCCAATCCAGTAATAGAGAAAGACTCCTGTTCAGAAAGAGGGGATGGCCTCTCCTCCAAACAGACAGCAGCAGACCTAACATCATGCCATGGACAGAAGGAGCCCTGGAAGAACCAAACGGCGAGAGGAGGTGACCCCTCACATTCCCACCCGCTCACCGGGGTTCCCCTGTCTCCCCTCGTGAGACCCGTGGGTCGGTGCCCGTCGCTTGGTCCCGTGGACACAGGAGCAAACCAAGAGACAGAGAGCGTCTCCTTGGGTCTCCGTTAAAAACACTCCCATCGGGGCATCGCTGTCCAGAGGACAGGGGAAAAAAAGACCTGCTGTCCGGTGCAGAGCAGAGCTCTCCCCACCCCACCCCCCGGGGAATTGTTCCCTTGAGCCCCTATTAATGCAGGACATATGTTATCCACAGGCAGTAGGCAGCGGGAAGACTTCGCCATCTAACTTGTTGCTCAACTTACGAGGCGGTTCTCATCTTCTCATCAAAAGCCGCCGGTCTTTCTTCAGCCGTATGGACAAAAATGTGAACAACAATGCCCGACTCCCTTCACTTCAAAAGCTGCCAGCGCAGAGGCTACCCAGAGAATTTTCTCTCTGCCTTTCATTCCCGGTTTGAAAAAAGGCACTACAGGGCCAAGGCGCTCCTAATACTCTTTGATGGGGATTGAATTCATTATCTCCAATAACACAATTGTGCTTGGCCAACGAAAAGAGCAAAGTAATACTCATCTAGAATTAGAGAGAGGGGCTCAGAAGAAAGGGAGCGGGAGAGTGGGAGGGGGGCATTTCAAAGGAAGGGGGGGGGGAATGTAATGAGAAAACACCTATATCGAAAATCGGCTTGGAAGGAGGGGGTCCCCAGAAGTTTAAATTGCAGAAGTGTATTAAGTGGCGGATTGTACGGCTCCAGGCATGTTGGTGGTCTGACTGCGCACTCCCCCTCCGCCTGCCTAGCCGGCACCGGTGGGCTTGGAGATTCTTGCCGTTTTCCTCCCCGGACGGCCCCGCTCCGCTACCTGCCGCGGCGCACTGTGGTGGCCCCCCCGTTTCAGCTAAGCCGCAGACGGGGGCCGCTGCCTCGGACTTTGCCCGGGTGCAGCGCAGGGCTTGCCGTCCCTCACTGCTCTCACTGGCTTGCGAGACTCAGCGGCGGTGGGAGCAGCCGCAAGCACAGAGTAGCCAAGCAGGCAAACAGTCCTCTCACTCGGTGCCCCCCCGCCCCCTCCAGGGACCGCAGGGACATCCAGAAGTCTGTCCTATTAGGGGTCGGTGTGGTGTCTCCCAGCATCATCACACTCCGACATCGGGCACGCAACAAGTCGAGGGCTACCTCCTGCGGGGGCCGTGGGCACAGCCCGGGTTACTGGAGGCTCGGCGATGGAGGGCAAGAGATGGAAGAATGAATGAATGACGGAGAGAGTGAATGAATGAATGAATGAATGAACGAATGGAGCGAATGAATGAATAACACATACACAAATAAATAAATAATACAGCACAAAAATCAACCGATTGGAAAACCGCTGTGTTAATATGAGAGATTAAAATATTTGCCTGTTTGGCTTCCAGCATAAATGTTTTCTATCGGGTGTTATCCAAACAGGCTAATTTCCAAAGTCAAGCAAAATATAGCAATGAGAGGCTAGAGGTATTGCACCTATGACGGGCGGCTATGGGGCCCTGCACGGGCACATTACACCCGTGTCGGTGGGCACGAGGAATGGCGGTTAGATGGGCTAAACCCCATCTCTGACAGGTCTCTGTGCAACAGCACATAGGCAACTATCCCACCACAGAACCCACTCGTGTTTCCAAATTCCCAGTGCCCACTGCAGGTGCCCTGTAAGACTTTACACAGGTGCAGAAGGGGGAGACATCAAGACCCCTAGAGATGCTTTTCCGAGACAATACCCTCTAGGCATTGGCAATCACACAGAAGGGGCCCAACAATGTGCATCTGTCACCATGGAACTTTCTGCCCGCTCTGGGGGGTCAGGAGAACAGTCCGCTTCCCAAAAGTCAAATTGTACTCTGGGAAACAGGAGTTCTCCCACCACATCCTAAATGGGGAACCTGGAACTGTCCAGCTGAGGGTTTCTCTCTGGCAACAAGAAATCTCATCACCTTCATTGGGAGGTTTGCCCCAACAAGGGACACATTGGCTGAAGGGAAAGACGGGAGGAGAGTGATGACCTCTTCCAGCCCCCGTGGGGGTTTCATCATGTGCAATAATGCTGACCCTGTCACCTTTCCTCTTACAAGACAAAGCTGACCTTGACAGGACTCATTTCAGTGGATCACCACTCATCCTTTTAAACACTCCCTGGGCAGGGGGTAGATTTTTTCTTTTTTCTTTTCCTAATGAGTGTGACTGAGATTACACGGACCTCAGCAGAGTCCGAGGTTCAAGGATTTCAGGATATTTCCCACTTTGTAAAGTGCCACAGGGGTTTGTTTTTATTTGGGGGTAGAGGGCTCCTTCTTTATTTAAGAAACTTTAAGAAATCTAGAATAAGATGTTCCCAGAGAAAACAGTATCAAAATACTTGTGCCTTCCGCAGAAGGAGGACCAGACCTCACGATGTTTCTACTGGGGTCTATTTAGACCAAGCACATATGTTAACTGGCTAACTAAGCATTTTACTGTTTGTAATTTACCTCCCCATGCATAATGACTTCTCCAAAGTGTACATTAAATGACCACATAGTTCATGTCCAAGAATTACTCTTTACAAGTCAGCTTACCTTAACGATCAATGTGCCATTTATACTTTTACACAATGGACTTTAATTGTTACAAGGCAGTCCTTTGGTCCATGAGAAATGATTTGTTTTGTGTCATAGCACAAACAGAGGATTAGGAGTTCAGGTAAGGAATAAGCAGCAGCAACAACTTAATTCCTAGGCAACAAAGATCCTGCTTTCATGCCAGATTTCTTTCTAGTAAAAAGGAGGATGCAGCACCATCTCCATCTCACTGGACCAGTCAGACATTAGTTAACCTTCATTTCTTTCTGGTTTAAATCTGTCCAGGGTTTCCTGTCCTTCATCCCTTCTAGAGTCAAAAGTTGTATGTAATGCTATGCAGTGCTAAGTAAAAATAAACACAAGAGATTCACCAAATTAAACAGAATTCTTTTTTTTTTCTTTTTTCTTTTTTTTTTTTTTTAATCAGGATTTAATAGGCAGAGGTCGAAGGCAGCTTTGTAGATCTAATTTTTAGCGTTCTGTATTTCCAGAGAGACTGGTACAAAGGTTATTGGACTTTAAAGTATCACTTTGATTTGCAATGACAAAGGATCCCCCACCCCCTTCCCCACAATCATCAGCATATCCCAAATTCAGGCAGAAATTGTAAAAAGCAGACAGATTTAGGGCAAAGACCCTATTTCTTTTCCAGTGGCTGGGCACTGGCAGAACATCATGGTGGCCCAACCCTCGGCCCTCACCTCTGTGGGGTGGTGGGTGGCTGGGGGAGACACATCTGAGTTTCCTCGGCTGTTTCAGCAGAGGCAACAATCTGTGTACACACAGTGAGCAAAGCTGCTCAGAACATTTTCATCTTTGAAAATGAACCTAGAAACAAATGGATCCAGAGCTTCAACCCACCCGCTTCTACCTGTCACAAAACTGGCCTAGACATCATCAGTGACAGGTGAAATGGAGATGGGGGGCTTGAGGGGGTATGTGCATCCTGTGGGCTCCCACCACCACCTTCAGGTGTGGGGCATCATGGAGAGAGCTGTAGGCAACCTTAGCTTGGCTCCTTTACGCTTAGGTGTTCCTGCTTATCCCTTTGCCTTTCTAGGTTGTTAGTGCCCTTTGACAAGGGGAAAAGTGGGAATGACTTGCTCAGACCATGATCTCCTCAAAAATTAAATAAATACAAATG